TGTATACCTCTATAACAGACACCATAACAGGACATATGTTAATATTTAACTACACAAGAACATGAATCATTGTCTTCTGGCCTCACAAGACATTCCCAATTATAAAGATTGACTAAAGAAGAACAACAGGCATGCTTGCAGTCATATTTTATATCACAAGATATAAAATATGACTGTGAGTTTCTGCATATGCATGTGCACGGTTGTGTGTGTGTGTGTATAATACGAGGGGGAGGTGGGTGGAGCTGCGTAGGTGTTGAACCATTGACAGCTGCAGTGCAAATATCCCTGCTTATCCCAACTCACAGGAATCTCACAATTCACCACCACACCCCTCTGGATCTGGGTGAGTCCCATCTGTCACCCCACAAACCAAACCCCACCTCCACTCCTCTTATACTAATCCCTCTCACCCCTCTCTTCTTCTCCTCCTTTCTTCTTTCAATGAACAACCCCCCATCTCACCTCAGCTTTCTGTATTTTGATCCACCTTAGCCAGAATAGCATTTTTAAAGTGCCATTTCATTTTTGCCTCCTTTGGCCTAATTCCTCTCATCTTCTGTCTGCCAGTCTACCTGTGATTTGCTCCTCTCCTCTCCTCATCGCCTTTCCAGCCTTCATCTTTCTCACAAACTATCTCAGAATGATGCAATCAAACGCCGTTTTTTGAAACCTCTCATTGTTTTAAGGTGATTCCGTATCCTGTATGAGAGTATGATCAATTGGGTTTGATGCGTAAGTTGTAATAAGGCGTCACAGTTGCACCATATTGTTACTCACATTTCAACCTGACTTTTATTCTAAATTTAAAACCTGTTGCTTTTCAGTTTTCTCATCAAAATTCAGCGATCCATAAATTATTCACCCACATATCTAGCTCTCAGTACTACATATTTACTATGCATAGAGATTGAGGTATACAATAACCCTGCAATGAACCAACTCACCTTCAGGGGCGTCCTCTGATAACATGCTGTCCCGTCTCAGTCTGTCTTCCTTGTCATCAAGTGAAAAATGGAGAGAAAAGGAAAATCACTGGGCCAGTACATTCAGTCCTATTGTATCCCGGCAGTCGTCAGAGTAACAGTAAACCTATTGTAACGGCGCCCTTTATGAAGCATGGCGCTAGGGTGACCCTGCTGCCCATGCTCCTTGGCTCATGTGTGCTTTTGTGTGTGTGTGTCTGAAAGTGGGTGAGTGTGTGTGCATACTGGGGTCATGTGTGGGTGTGTACAGGCTCCAACTTGCCTGTGTGTGTGTGTGTGTGTGTGTGCAGGGGGAGGCTGTGATGATAATGAGTGACAGTAACAACTGCTTGCTGTGAGACCTCCACAGAATCCAGCTTCTTTATTAAGAGACGACCTGTCTGATGTGCTAGTGTTGCACTCTAGAGGCTGGTGTGAACTGCAGCACAACGCTCCAGATTCAAAGTAATGGTGTTTGTGATTAGCTTGTATTGTGTATGTGTGTGCACGCGCACATGTTTGCTCAAGTTCAATTACTTCCTGCAATGAGGAGGAGGAGGAGGCAGAGGAAGCAGAGAAAAGGAGTGCCAGTCACTGTAATACAGCCTCCTTCTTATAGTGGAATGGCTGGAATGCAGGTGTACACATTCATGCATGTGTGAGTGGAACTAAATGATAGAGCATAGGCCTATGCTATAAAAGAATTGAAGATTACATAGGCCCCAAATCACAATTGCAACACAAACATGCAACACTTAAATACTTAGACCCTTGGTTTACAGCCACGCTAGTGGCTCTGTGTAGCTGTAATGTACTTGACCGGATGATGGTGCTCGATTGTGTCAGTAGATCAAAGTTATGACAACTCAGCGTTTGCGGATTCAAAATTTCTACAAAGTCAACCTCACAGTGGCACTACAGAAAAAGTCAGAGGATCACCAAAGTCAGTAGGATTCATCCCCTGGGGAGCATGCATGTCTGTACAACATTTCATACCAATCCATTCAATAATTGTTCAGATTTTTCACTGTGGACCAAAGTGGTGGACTGACTAACAGACAAGGGGGGGAGGGACCCCTCAAAAAACCCTTTAATTAAAAAAAAACAGAAACCTCAGGAAGAGCAACAGAAGGAGGTATCCCTCTCACTGGATACACATCCAATAGTGTCATATCATTTGGGAACTATGTGTCAACTTTTTATGAGCTAAGAGATAAAAACAACTTTCAGCTTTCTCAACCCATTAACAAACCATTTAATCCTTATCAAACAAATTTAAAATGACCACATTTGCAGTGCTGACATGACAGTTACTGCAAGTACAGAATGTACCAGAAGAAGGTCAGTACACAGAATGAAAAGATAAATCTGTTAGATGCAGCTTATACCTGTAGTTTGATTATTGACTGTGTGCTGGCTGCTGTACGTGTGTGCAGTATGTTGAAGTGATTGAATATGAGGAACTATTGTTAACATAACCGGAACAATAAATACTCTTGTCCTAGTGTTGCCTTTTATTGCTATGTTCAGTATCAGCGGCTCTACTGTCGCTAAATTACTGATGAAGGATTAAACTACATTTTAAAATAACAAGCATTACACAATAGTCAACAGTTCAGTCCATATTTAAAGTTAACTCTAAACCAATCTCTGTAAAGGTTAATGAAAAAGGTTATAATTTTGGACAGCATCACTGATTTAAAGGGCTGTTAGATATTAGGGTGTGTTCAATTATCGTTTTAAATGATTACTAGAATAATATTGGCTAGCAGGCTCGCTTGTTGAGTATATGTAGCTACAGTTGAAATATAATTATTTTAACACAAATTACTCTACTTTTACTTGTCATCTTTAATTCAAGCAACAGTATTACTACTTGACATCCTAATACTCTGATAACAGCAATGCACCACACTATACTATAGACACACTACACTACATTTGCCATACGCTGGTTAACCACATGGCTCTTGCAGTGATGGCTTTAATGTTCCAGGTTACTCTTCAGTGAGATAATCAGGCCTCTTAGCAGACAAGATAGTTAATGGATTAGTCAGTTGATAGAAATGATCTATTAATAATTTAACTATTTTTTTCTATCAAGATTTTTCTATCAAGAATGCTAAACATTCTTCTAAGCAATGAGGATTAATCTGAATATCATTGGTCAGACAAAACAAGACATATGAAGACCTTATCAACCAAACAATGAATCAAGAAAATAATCTGCAGATTACTTGAAAATAGTCTATATTTGCACTCCTATACTGTATGAAATTGCAGTATACTGTCTTTTTGGCCATCCCCTTTAGCTTATTTTCTTTTTAAAATTGCTACCGTAAAACACTTTTGACACAATTCGGATATCATTGTATTGAGAGAAATAAGTAGTAACAGTCTGCATCTCTAGGAAGCATCCCATGTGTTGAATTGCTGACGTGTATCACACTAAATTAGTGATACTGGATACTGAAGCAGGCCTCCCCTCTTAACGTCTGTGCCCCTAGTCTGACCTTGGGCTTCCTCAAGGGATCAGTGCCATGTGTCCCCTCAGCTGTGGAGAATTAAAAGAGAGACAGAGAGCGGATGAGAGGAAAGAAAGAGAGACTCTACTTGGCATCTTATGTTCAAAGGGTTGATGCCCTTACAATAGGCACTTGATTGACAAGTGTGTGTGCATGAGCTTCTACATGGGACATGTATGTATATTCCTGGAGTTGGGATTGGATGGGTGGGGTGTTGGAGGGTAACAGTGGGTGTGAGGGCTAATCTTGCACCCCGGTGGTTTTGATCCCACTGACTGGTAAGGGATGAGGGCATGGTGCCTTTATGTCTCTGGGATCAGCTGCGCTAAGTCGGAACGAAAGAAGGGAGATCCGGTATAAGAGTGAAAATACAAAGGCTGTGCCATAAATAGTGCAGGAAAGGCATGGGGGATGAGCCCATATGTTGCCCCTGTTGCTCATCTGATCTGTCATACATTCAGATCAGACATAGTCTTACAAAAAGATGTCTAAGCTTGAAAATCAGTTCTGGTTTCCTATATGCTGGACAGCTTTGGCTCACAGCACCCTCTGCTGCTAGATAATTAGTACAGCCCAATTATCCCTCTTTAAAGGCTTCTTTCATACTTCATATTTATTGTATGCTCAGAGGACTTGAGGGGCCAGGTATCACTTGTCACGATGTGGTTTCTTGGTTTGGGAAACATGTTACGAGTTGCAGTGTGGAAATCACAGGATCCAACAAACTAAGATTTAAAATCAGGATATCTGTCCATTTTAAATTTGTCCCCACACAGTGTAAGAAATGTGTAGGGAAGTTGGTCATGGACTAATGGGATGAAATGGGATAATATAGAAAAAATTACAAAATAACACTGAGGCAATTGAAGAGACAGGAGTCGTATCTGAGAAAGAGCCTTTTATTCAGCACTGTTTTTATTCCAATGTTTTCAAAGGAGAGAGCAAGGAGAGGATTGTTTGAGAATCAGTTGAAGGTGACAGGGGAAGCAATGAGGATAACATGTACAATATTTTTTTGTTTGTTTTTTGTTTTTCATTTTTACATTTTTTCCAGCAACAAATGTTCAGAATGGAAAGTACACTCAGTAAAAGGCTGGTTACTGCTTGTATTTTCCAACGGTGAGCATTTACTGCTACAGTACTATTAGTCGGGGAAAAGCACCGCGACCATACAACTTTGACCATTTTTCTTGTAGTAGTGTAGAGTTCTTACATCAGAAATCATCAGATTAAAGAAAGCAAAGCAAAGCAAACAATAAAACTCACTCATTTTTCACTTTTGGCCCTGAATGTATATAATTTACATTATTATTTAAAATATTATTCTGAACAAGCCAACCTTTGAAACACATACTGTGAGTCGTGTGATTTCAACTTCCATCCAACTCTTATGAAATACAGCTATTTTTGAAGTATTTCATACATGATTGTTCATTTATTTTGCATGAGGCAAGATTTTCTTACTTTCCACTCATCCAAATTGTTTGGCATGTACACATTAAGCTGCTGTATAACCGTTTTCTTTTTTCTTTTTTTTTTGGAGAGATTTACAGTAGCAGTGTAACCCAAGAGAGCGACTTTTAGTCTTTTTTTAGAGGAAAAAGAGAAAAGGCAAGGGAAAGTGGTGAGTCATCTAAACTCTGTCTAGAATGGCAAAGGCAGAAAAATGCACCAAGTAAATGCATTCATTTGTTTCAAACACATTGTAAACCATCTATTTTAAGGAGAAGCTAGTTGTCTAACTTTGAATCTCTAAAATGGAGCCTCACAACTGAACAACACTCATCATGTTGAGAAAAACAAACACCAAAACAGAAGCAATGACAAATAAAGATGAAGCAAAGCACAATGCTTCTTTGCAGATCAGGAAGAGAAACGCTGCATGTGGGAGACAAACGGCAGAAGTCCTATTTAGCCAGCTCCTGAGCGTGGCTTTAGTTTTGCTTAATCCACTCAGGTGAAAAGGGGGCTTTACCTGCAAACCCCACAACACCAGCAGACTCCAGCAGAACCATGAGGTAGATCACTGGTCAAACTGACCACAAGAGAAAAAAAAAACCTCCTAAAAGATGTCCATTGGGTGTAAAACTTGTAATTTCATAAAAGTATGTTTGTTTTCATGTCACGTCTTGAAGTTTTTTAAAAAAGGAAAAAGGGAAAATAAGGAATTACCTTGCTCTGAGTTTGTCACCATTCTTTTTTTTCTCAGTATTGCCGTGGGACTCTCGTTGTCTTTATTGCCACCAGAAGACTAGACAGCGAAACACTCAATGGAAATCTCATGATTTCATACACACATTTGATCAATCAGATAGGAATATGAAACCTGATCAAGTTCGATGAAAAAATGTTGGAGAATGTTTGATGTGACGTAAGGAAGGCACCTTTTTCCAATAATAAATTCATTAATTCCCTAATGAAATGGTCACCTGTATCAGCTGTCAAGTGCAGTTGAACATAAGCTATTCTGTGGCAATTTTAAAAACCAAAATTAAACTATTCGGAAACTTTAAACTTCAGTGCAAACAAGGTTTTGCAAGGTTTTTCATATGTCACAAATAAAGGAACTATAAAATCAACCTAGAAACCTTGAAGGGGGGAAATATCTCAATCTCATGCATTTTAATATCACATCATACTGGGGGGCATGGGGAGGGGAGGGGGTGTCCTCTGGCATTTGTTTGAGAATCCTTGAAAAAAGAGAAAAAGAAGAGCATGTGGTTTCTTATCAAAATAAATCTTTTTTTTTTTCTGTGATTAGCCAACTGCTTGAGTCCATTTACACTGTCCTCATTTTCCACCATTAACGTTAGGGCTGTGCAAAAAAGTTCATGTTTCTGGTCCAATCAGAGAAGGCGGTGACTGTTACCACTGTGATGTCATCAGCAACCTCCCACCTGCCCTCTGGCTCACAGAGCGGTAATCTGGCCTAAAAATAGAGACACAGAAAGCAGATGCATTCATACAAAAACTATAAACAGCATCATCTTTGACCTACACTGTGTAGTGTTTGTATGCATCAATCACTGTATATGTCTTATTATATGCCTGGAGGGGATTCAATAAATTGCTTCTGATTAATGACTGGTACTGTTTTCTAATAAGGCACCCAGTACAAAGGTTTAACACCAACACCAACAACCACTGAACAAAGTAATTACTTACAACATATAAACCCTTAGTGTTTTATTAGAAAGTGGCACTATAATTTGTATTATGTGGCAGTAAAGTTGCTGAAACAAACAACTTGCCGGCATTTACGACAGACGGTTTACATTCAGAAACTAAAGCATACCTGTGATTACTTGCTGAGCTGACTGTAAGGAGACGAGTTGTTGGAAGAATCCACTTGCTGCGGCGTGCCGTTTTCCTGAAAAGCAAAGCAGCATCTCTCATTTAGAGCGTTATAATAACTATCTTCACTATGTTTGGACTTGATAAATTATAGTTTTAGAGGATAAACACTTCAAAAACAACTTAAGGCCTTATGAATGGGCTCAGGCCGATACATCACAGTTAAATGGACAACAGGTAGAAGGTTAATGTTTTGAAATGAAGAGTTTGAATAAAGAGTTGATTAGGACAAAGATATAATAAACTCACAGGTGCTGCCTGCAGGGTAGGATATTGAGGCATGTAAGCTCCTTGGACACCAGGGTTGGCTGAAATATACTGTAATATAAAAGAAAAATCAAAATTATTTAATGGTATATTACATTTTATCAGACCTAAAAGACTTCATTAATATAGCACTTTTAATTAAACACAGTGGATCCAAAATGCTTCACAGCACTGGTCGCAAACCAGGGGGTCCCGACCTCCATTAGGGGTTGCCAAAACAGAGGAGGTCATGAGGCCTTGATTTTAAGGGGTAAAAGAGAACTTTTAAAATATATATATATATATATATATATATATATATACAGAAGGCCTATATTTCAGCATTTCATTTGTTTCTGTTAAGAAAACTAAATGAAATAGTTCCTAATTCCTAAAGTTTAATAAAATAAAAACTCTCCCAGGATAACGGCGCAGTGAAGTCCCGAACACAAGCTATATTCACAGAGCCTGCACTGAATATAATATGAAATATCCATAAACTATGTCACTTAATCAGGGGTCGTCAGTTTACTCAATGATAAAAAAGGGGTCCCTTAAGGAAAAAGGTTGGGAACCACTGCTTTACAGCACAAACAGAAAGAAACATAAGAAAGGAGAAAACATGAAGAATCATGTTTACATTATGCATATAACAAATTCTTCCAGAGGGGTTCGGGAGAAATATCGGGGCACATAATGTTAGTCCACAATTAAAAGAGTTTTTTAAGTTGACCCTGTCACCATAGCATTTATTCCAGGGGATATCAGCTCTCTGGTAGTGTGGTATGGGGACACTGGGGGCTGTATTTATTCATCATGTCATGCACAGATAGTGCCCAGTCCACACGGACACTAACAAAAATACTGTTGCAGCAGGGAAACATTTGTCAGACATAAACATAACTTCTACACATGAGATTACATTACAAACTGTTCTCAACTCGTCTTATAAAATCTGCCACGTTTATATAATCAGCCATTCAGAATAACTCATCACAAATTAATGACATTTTACTAAAAACTGTAGCCCTGTAATGGGTAATAAAACATGAAATGGACTTCATCTTCAGTGTTACTTAACTCACACACTCACACAGGGCTCTCTCTACACTGCAGTTGATTTTCAGAAAATATCTTTGTACTAAATATCAACAGACCATCTTTTCTTATACACTAGGAACAACTCGTGTTGAGCAAAATAAAGATTTCACCTCACTAATCCAGGAGTGTCCATGCAAAATGCGCCAAATAAAGATCTTTCTAGTGAGCTACTGTTCAGGCATATTAACAAGTCTGTATACAAATCCATGCCATACCACATATTGCATAAACTGAAACTAACATTTGGTCATAATATTTAATATAATTATACTAAACAAATTTAATTTGACCAAATGCCGCGTTGGATATCCCAGAATTCCACTCACCGCTCCAGTGTTTCCCAGGGACAGCTGACCCATCTGCTGAGTAATCATGGCTGAGGGGTGCAGTGACATGGAGGGATCCACAGAGGGAGACATCACTGCAGCCTGTAACACAAGGCAGTTGAATTGACCACATATCACATGATTCTACATACTACATAAAACACTCAATAAAATAGCAAATATAGGCTACAACAACCGCCTGGCAGGCAGTGTTGGGTATAAATATAGCATGAGTTACTGTTTAAAACCTATGTATGTAGGACAGACTGGAAAGATTAGCTTGGGGGGGTGAAATATATTTTGTGGTTTTGTGGTTAGACTAAAGGTAAAATAATATATTTGCAGCAATAACTGTGTGATAATATCTTTCTCTAAGGTAAGCATTAAGTATTCTGTGCTCCTGCGTTATGTTAAGGGATGAAAATATGTAAAAAGTATGACGTTGCCAGCTCTAGTCTGTTTTCAGATGGAGTATATTCCTTTAAACATGACGCCTTTAGGGAATAGACCATTTCCTAGTAAAAAGTGGGGGAGGGGGCAGATCAGCAGAGACACTTGTTCCACTGGAAACCATCTGTTGGAAGAGTCAAAGAGTCACAAGACTGTCTCTGCTTCAGGCATTTCCTGCTGGATCCAGAGAGAGGGAGGAGGAGGGGGGTGGCGGGGGTAGTGGCTGAATGTCTTTTTAGTTGTTCCATTTCTCTTTCATACACACTCCAACACACATATACACACTTAAAGTACGTAAATATACTGTGGCTTTTTCCCAGAGCTCGTCTGAGCTCTGTGCTTCTTCTACATTTGGGGAACTTCTGGACGTTGCTGGTTTGATTGTGTCAGCAGAACAGGACAGGCTGATTAAAGTAACACTCTGGGTTACTGTGAGCTCAGAGCTAGCTGTATCGGCGCCACACACCCATTTCCTGTACACAGAAAAGGAGGTGGCGTATGAGTGTATGAATTTAAAAAAAGCAAATGCTGTTGTTCCCTTACCGGGTGTTGCATGATATATGGCTGATGTGCCACCCAGGAATGACTCTGTACCTAATGGAGGACAGGAAGGGAGGGGCAGAATGAGAGACAGATGGAAAGAAAAGTTATCCATGTGTCTGGAATGACATTTTTATGTAACAAACTAACTTTATAGTTTGAATAAGCATTGTTTTGTTTTTAAATAGAAATACAAGGATGTTATCAGTCTAAATAATATATTTGGACAGCATATATTCATTCATCCATCCATCCACACTTGAAGCCACCTTTCCTGCTAAGGGATCAATAGTATGCAAAGCTTTCAACTTTTTAGGGCCAATCTGATTTTACCTCTGATAGCTTTTACTACCACACTGACCTCAGCCATTAAGATAGCCTCCAAACTCCATCAATATTACAGTCCTGCCTCCTGCTCTGAGTGTATGTTTGACTTATTAGGTCCGCAATTTGCCGTCTTACTGACAGCCTGGGCGAGGTTCTGCCTGAAACTGACAGATGCTTATCCTAGTAGCCTTTTAAGAGTTTATCCGATATATATATATATATATTTACATCTAATTATATTAGGTGCTGCCTTTTTGAAACAAACCTGTGCCACCCAAGAACTGAAAGCCTCTGTTTTAACGCTACAGCTCTCACTGCTGGAGTCCAGCAGAGGGCTCTTGGGCGGCCAACCTTAAAAGTCTTTGTAGCAACTTGCACAACCGTCAAGGCAAAAGGTAGATATCAGGTGCAATGCCCATTGGGAAAAGGGCAGGACTAGGGAAGATGCAGGTGTTGTGGATAATGGCAGCACAAATTGGAGTGTACAGTTCAGAGATACCAACTGATTATAGTTTGATTTAGTCATCAGTCGGACTACATAAATAGGACAGGAGGAGAGTGCCTGAGAGGAACTGTCTACCCCATCTGATTAAAAAGGCCTAGACTTCAATACTAGTTCCTCCTTTTTCAAACACAAGAAAGCTCACACAGTAAGTGTTCATAATAGCAGAGCACTTAAAGGGCCAGGTTGATTATCGACTTTGCAGTTGTTTTTAATCCAATGTCAGCTCTCCACATGATGGGAATGACTAACAGAAAGGCCTGGAAGACCCAAACATGTTGTGGGTTCATTGGAAGAACATCTGGCAGAGCACTACATTCAAAACCTCTATTGTGTGTTGTAACCCTGCTACACATGACCCCTCAGATTCATCCCTCATGTGCAAATTAATTTCAAGTGACGGATCCTGTCAATGGTGGGAAGTGTTTCTGGTGAACAGAAAGTAATGAATCAAAACTTCTGAGTGAAATATTACAAAACAGTGAGCAAGAAAGCCATCCAGAGAAAGCTTGACTCAGAGAAGATGACTGTACCTAATGACAAGAGCTTTCTTTAACTACTTCACTCCTTGAGCTTACTGTTATATTACATGATTTCTGGTTGGCCATGGTCTTCAAACACCAAAACATTTGAATGATCGTCCACTGCCACATGAAAAAAAGTAGGTGGCCCAGGGCAGTTTTAGCACCTATTCGTATATCTTTAACACCTGTATAGCCCACACAGAAACAAAAATGCACACTAACCCACTTATACACACCATAACCGCAAATGCAACATAGAGGGAAAGAGAGAGATGATTTAAATTCATCTCCGGCCTTCAGACATGTTTATATTAGAATCTTCTGCAGTACCTGGTAAGCAGAGACTGGAGACATGTAGGGAGACATTGCAGGCTGCACAGTCATTATCCTATTGGTCACTGGATAAGGGGAAGGATAGTACCTAGGAACAGACAATATTTCAAAATAAAGCTCACAAATTATGACTAGTTAAAAGTTAAACAGTGTCATGATCTGCTATAACTTGAATGTAACTTACCCATTCTGTATAGCTGCTGAAGAGGGGTCATAGGTAAGAGTCATTGCACCCTAAGGGGAGGAAATAAACAATAATGTGGAATTATATATTTGTATCTTACTACTGTAACATAACAACTGAACCCAATATGATATAATACTCAAATAATAATCATATGAAAATTAGCATTTCATCAGTTATAATGGGTTTGTATGGGGATCATTTTAGTATTTTGAATATTACTTGATTTTATTTTGTACTGTACAGATGATCATTTAAGAGAAAGAGACAAAACCCTGATAAATTAGGGTGCACAGATGATCAAAAAGCCTAGAAGTAAATGTTTTTGCAAGTGTTCTATGAATTCTGCTCATGAAGGTCTGAAGATTTTATTACAAAACCTGTAAACCTATTTTTTTTATATAGAATTGTTTAAAAATGTACACGCAGCACTCTGATTCTGGCTTTTGGGAATTCATGGTGTCTTGTAGGGGAATCGTTTTATACATGGCACAATAATAAAGACATAATCTAATTTGTTCTCATCACATTTACAAGCAAGAAGCACATATAAGAAGATAGCGGATACATACTAGTCTGAGATCCCCTGTCTGTCCATTGGGAATAAATCCGCTATGAGCATGTTTCTTCCTTTGACTGTCTGCAAACTTACACAGGAGTGGCTGAGAGGGAGCTGAGGGCATAGCACAAAAAAAGCAACATATTAGACATATTAACAGCCATAGAACAATCAATCATCACTACCTCCACAGTTTCTATTGGAAGGAAAGTGAACAGAGAGGTGAAATTCTTTCCTACCCAGAGCTCCAGAAGCTATCTTGATAAACTTCCCATTGAAGTGGGAGATGACGGCGTTACACTGCTCTGTCGTGTCCATCCTGACAGGGGGGAGAAGATAAAAAAACAATGACTCATCATTAGACCACACAGGGACTATCTACAGTCAAATTTTCTTGAACACAAAGCAGTATTGCGAGGCATGACGCAAATGGGGACTTGGGCTCCCTTCATATAAAAATTGAACATGAATTTCCCTCCTTATTTTAATGCTAGCTACACAGTGTCATTGCTACCCACTAGATACAATTATTTGAGTGGTTAGTTCACTATTTATCATCACAAGTTTGTGATCAAAGCTGTAAGTTTATTCTACAACTACTTTAAAGGTGATTCAGAGAAGAAATGAGTTCTACTTTTTGTCTATCTCCTGTGACTGACCTGGCGAAGCCCACGCCTCGGCTGTTGCCACTGTAGTCTCGGAGGATCCGTGTGGAGACGACCTGGCCAAAGGGCTGCAGCATGTTCTCCAGCTCTTTCTCATCCACAGAGAGAGGCAAGTTGGAAATGTACAGATTTGTGGGGTCTTGCTCCTGTTGCTGCTCATGTAAATGATGATGAAAAAGAAGAATTGAATTTGTTATAGTAAATTGTGCGAGAGGGCCACATACTAAAATACATGGTAATAGTTTTTAATGAATCAGCCAAATTTGTATTGTACCATAGATAAAAGCAGTTCTGTGCTATATCCTCACAGATGAATGACAGACAAAATAGATTTGTCTTTGCTATGAAACCACTGTGTGGATGAGGATTTAAGACTCGGCTAAAGTATCGTCAGGGGATGACATTTGGTTAAACAAACATTAATAAGCTCTCCTGCACACACATAGGACCACACACACGCACACAGAAACACACTTCATTTGTGCTGCGCAGCAGCTCAGCGCCTCTACGGTCTTCCCTAGAAACAGCAGGAGAGCAGCGTAGCCTAGCTACCACAACACACAAACTGTGTTCTGCTGTGTTTGTTCCAAACAGAGCAGCTACATGCAGGTCTCGAGAGAGAAACCCTTCATCAGTCAACTCTCACCCATGGATTTAAGCACAGGAACACAGGCCAGGCAGGGAAAAGGAAGGGACTGAAATAAATGTAATGGTCCAGGCAATTTCCGCTTCCCACTACGAGACAAATCACACATGTGATGCAGAAATACCCCGTTTGTCATCTAAAGACATTTTGAAAAATGAACTGTTGTGCTTTACTTTAAATTAGTCACAGAGGATCAAGAATGGCTCAAAGCAGTAGCACTGTTGCTATAGTGCTTCAGTGAAGATATGCCTACACCAGTATGCATGAATGATAATCAGTGACATAGTAATAATACTGGTAAAAATCTGTACAGTCTGCACATTATAATCCAACCAGGATGGTGTGTTAGTGTGTGGGCTGGTGGTCCGGTGTGTAACGTGTCACACTGACTGACAGGTTATTTGGCAGAGAGAGACATGACATCTGGTTTCTACAGTGAAAGTAAATGGGGTCACGGGAAGAACAGCTTGTCAGCTGAGGTCACATGACCAGTCTAATGTCATTCTCTAACCAACACAACCGCACACGAGCCCACATTAAAGAAGCACAACCCCACAGTGATGTTCACAAGCAAGACAAATATGCACACACACACACACACACACACACATGCCTGCACCAAACTCACCTTGGCCATCTGGGCCTGTATGCCGCTGGTTTTCAGAGCATGTACTGCCTTTAAAGCAGCCCCAGGGCTGTCAAAGTCCACAAAGCCATAACCTGTAGTTGGTAGAACAGTATTTACATGAATAGTCATTAATAATAAGAACAATCCCCTATTGTACATTTTGTACTATCACTATTTCTAAAGGATGGATCATATATATTATGTGTTTATTGTTTTTTACTGTCAACATATCAAGATATCTTTTATGTTATCAATAATGACACACAATTGTGTTGTCTAGATTAACACGACAAAGCATTTTTAAAAATCTGATTTGTCACAGAATGATTTCTGAAATATTTTAAGGAATAGTTCAACATTTTAGGAAATCTCCCTATTCACTTTCTTCCCAAGAGTTAGAAGAGAAGATTGATAGCAGTCTCATATCAGTAGCTGGAGCCAGTGCCTGCTAGCTTAGCTTAGCATAAATACTAGAAACAAGAGAAACAGCTTGCTTGGCATTGTTCAAAGTTGTGTACCAGGACTTCTAAAAGGTCATAATTAACACGTCTTTTTTTTGTTTGTTTAATCCGCACAAAACCGAAATGTATAATGACAAGTTGCGGTTTCACAGGGGACTATTTCTTGGCTGGACGCAGCGACCTCCTGGAGTCTAGAACTCAAAATATCAAACTATTCCTTTCAGGAGCAAACCAGCGTTTATGTCTAACCCAAATTATGACAAAATCTACGTACTTTGAGCATGCATTTTCTCCATTTTCCAAAGCATACCGTGGTGTTTCTGATTTTTCAATTTGGTTTCCCATCACCCATTCATTTCCATCTGTTTGCAGAGACTCTAAATCTGCCTGAGTTAGGTAATCCATCATAATCTGCTTTTGTTTTTGTCAAATTTATTTTATCACTGCATTGTAACGCAGTGCAGACTTTGCAAATCAATCTGCACTTTCAGTTGCAATGTCATACGACAACATAATTTTTACAAAAATAAGTGAAGAATTATCCAACCCAATCAAGTAGCAGCAGCAGCAAATTGATTTTCATACACTTTGGAAATGAATAAAACCCAAGAGCTGCCTGGAAGGTATGGAAATTCATTCAAAAATCTAAAACAACACGGTATTTTTTATATATTAAAAGTATGCAGTCATATAAGGATTAATATAATGTAGCACAACATGCAAAAACACTGATGTTACTTTGATGCTCAAACTAAACAATTTACCAGGTGAGTCTCCATACTTAAACATGCAGTGCAGTACTGGAAGAAGATTCAAGTTATACTTCTAAATATATGTTTTCTATCTGTTTCTGGAGCCCTGATAAGTGATGCATGGTAAGTTAATAACCTTTACTGACCTTTACATTTGTTGGTTGTCTTGTCCAGGATTGCCTTTGCTGACTGAATCTTGCCATACCTGGGCACATATCAACATGTAGATTACTGTCAAATAAATAAGTAACTGGAGCAGGTGAGACTGGTGATAGTATGTCTCTCAATTGCCTTGGACTTCTCATTGTGTGCTATTAATGTCAGTCAAATTTCTGCGTATTCATTTCCTGAGGAATTTATATATCATGACAGTCTCAAAAATACAGAAGCATAAAAGGAAAAAAAAAACTGGTCGTATTTGTGGAGATGTATCGTCATCACTAGTCTCTCCTCCATGTTTCCAAACAGTATTAATCCAATGTCAATATTTCAGGATTTGCTTTATCTCTGACTTCATACTCAAGTTGAACTGTGGCTCAAGCTGCGAGCCACTATCTGAGCACACACACCATACAGACTGAATGCCTAGCTTACATCACCATTCAGACCTTGTTGCTATGAAAAGCGCTTTCATTTCTGCTTTGTGCTGGCCAACACCATTGGGAACATGAACAAAACACAAGCAAACAGGACACAAACAGCTGCTGCTGCTGCTGGTTACATGGGTGAATGCCTCTGTCCATATGCTTGTGATTCAGAGGGAAAGAGAGGAGACAAAACTCCACTAATTATGGCATCCACCACACTAACCACTCGGACTGAAGCCTATGATATCAAGTATCGAACATGTTCACTGGGGTGCTTTACATGACTCTGCCTTTTTCTTTTTAGAAAACAATCATTTTTACAGTTTGCTTCACATACCACAGCTGAGCTATGACTTTTCCATATGAGGGTCTGTTTATAGCAGCATGATGGTTGGAGCATTTTATGTGTCAGTGTGGACTGAGGTTAAACCAGTGTGTGTTTGCTTTTGCACTAAAACTACAAACATTTTTGGAAAATTTCAATTTAACTTATTTATCTGTAACCATTTAAATGTGCAACGTTTCCTTTTATTTAGTAAATGTTCCCCAAAGTATCTCCTTATCAAGAATAAGCCACTTTAAAACGTCAGACATACAAATAATTCAACATTTAGGGAAATATGCTTTTTTGGTTTCTTGCCAAGAGTTAGATGAGAAGATTCAACTCTCATATCTTTATGGTAAATATGAAGCTGTCACCCACAGCTGGTTAGCTTAGCTTAGCTTAGCACATAGGCTGGAAGCAGGGGGAAACAGCTAGCATGGCTCTGTCCAAAGGTAACAAAATATGCCTAATGTTACCAGCCCTACACAGAAGTGTAACAATGACACGGCCAGAATTAGCTGTATTTTGTTACCTACAGTCATGCTAGGTGCTTCTCCCATTTCCTGCCTTTCTGTTAAACTAAGCTAAGCTAAGCTAACCTAATCTCCTGGCTGTAGCCAGTAAAACATGAGAGTGGTATCTTCTCATCTAATTCTACACATTCCCAAAATATTCCTTAAAATTAAGAATTGATTTACAAAAAAACATTACTTAGGCTTATAGTTATATTAATTTAAATCTGAAACTTAAACTTTAACAGACTGTATTTTTGTAATTTTGTACAGTAAGTGCTTTCATCAAATCTGGAATGACATTGGTATGTGATATCTTAAGCCCACTATTGACCCATTTTTTTGAGCAAACAGGCAAACATCAGTGACAAAACACTGCTGTGTGCACACACACAAGCATAATTGTTAACACTGGTTATGTGTGTACTCACTGATGACAGAGTTTGACCAGGTCCAGGTCTGTAGTAGCAGGAGGCAGCCCACGGATGTACAGGTTAGTTTTGCTGAGCTGCTCCAGGCCTGTGCTGCTGCTGTTGCTGCTGCTGCTGGGACTGGACGGAGTCATGGGGTAGGACTGCACACAGGAAACCCACTGTTAGAAAGTCTATGGGCGCTAGATAATCTAATTTAAACCCAGGTCAACAGAGATCACAAGAACATCTCATCTGTGTGAAACAGAAATGCAGAAAACACACAGAAGGCACAATCTGACTTAATTATTTCATGCTGCATTAAAAGTCGCTCTTATACTCTTCTTAAGATGATAATGGTGATGTTGCTCATCAGTGCCTAAAATTAGCTACATATCGACAAATTTCATATTATATCCAATAATATGAAATATTATCAATATACAGCCAGTGTTTGGTTTGTCCATTCTGGGCTACTGTAGTAACATGTCGGTTCAACATGGCGGCCTCAACTGGAAGGCGACCCACGTTGTGTAAAGATAAAAACGGCTCATTGTAAGGATAGGAAAACACAACAATTCCTATATGCAGGTAATTATACACTAATAAACGTAGGTATGAATATTATATTCCATTTCTGCCAATAGATCCTCCTAATTGTTACACACCGGCCCTTTAAGTAACTCATTTGAATACGTCTTCCATCACTGTCAGCGTCTAAGTGGCAGGTAGGTTTGACCTTATTAATCGGTTGTTCTGGTGATTCTGTCTGCCATTGTAGCACAGGGAACATCAGATATTCTTCTGTGTGAGCCTTTATGAATCACAAAGTGATTAAATCTGTGTACAGGTCTTATATCCTGCTGTAGTGTTTATCAGAAACCTTTTTTTTCATACTTGTGAGCCAAACCATCCAGCGCTGCCCTGCAAAGCATTTCCTTCCCCTTACTCATTCATTAAAATAGCTCCCGGCCACCCCAAACCCTTTCCAGCTCAGATCAAAGACAAAGCATGGCAGAATGACACCATCTGTCCATAACCAAAGGACAATCCACTCCAAGAGCCAACGCCATGGATACAACTAAAGCCATGCCAACAAGAAACACTGAGAAAATTCTTCCACCGTCATGTGATGGTTAAATGTTCATTTTTTTCATTTTACAGATGAGGAATTGATCACTGTGACAGAGACATCTGTTAGGCCTGTTATGTCTTCAAGCTGAGGCCTTACATTTTGTTGGTGTAATTACCGCGTTAACTTTGTTAGAGACCATCAAGGGTTCACATCAGGCCTCCGAGACTGTACGCCTACTCCATTAGAGGGCAGCTACGGTGGTGCATTTCATAGAGGCTTCATCACACCTTATAGCAGACTAAACCTGTTTTACACCCACACTGAAAACTCATTCACTGCTTCCCTGCGGCGATTCATATAAGCCTGCAGATCCCTATCCTCATCCAGTATCTTCTGATGAATAAATGGGAAAAGGTGGATACTTGGGGTCAGGCTCCACAGTCCACTTCATCTGCTCACGTTTCCATCATCAGAGGTTATAATGAAAGCTGCCTCTCACCTCTGTGCCTGCTTTCTATTCCCATCTTCCATCTAAATCAAAAATGTGTGATGGGAAAGCAAAGGGGGCACGGTCTTCAATTACCTTTTTGTTCACCTGAGAGGTCGAAATAAAGGATGCAGGCAGTAGCACAGTTCACTCCAGCACAGTGACATACATTACATTACACTGAGCTCTCTCTCTCTCTGTCTCTGTCTCTCTCTCCGTCTCTCTCTGTGGATTCGCCCAGAATGCATTAATCTATAAAATGGACTACAATAACCGCCATGCATAGCCTATTGACCAGCGTGGGCGAGTGACTGGGCAAACAAGGTTATATGGACATAATAATTAAAGTCTCGGTAGTAGAGCTATAGATCGGGTCATCAGCTGGCTTTTATCTCTCCATGTACCCTATCAGAGGATCAGCTTCCCGTTTGATAAGTCGACTGAGGGCCAGTGGATCTATTTTCTTTGTAGAACTGAAATCATTTGGCATTCATAAAAGGATGAAGCACAAACGCATATATTCCATATGAGAGCCATAAAGGGCTTCCCAATGTCATTTGTGGCTGCTATAATTCAGCCCGTTTATTCAAAACGCCGCCTCAAGTGTGAGCAAAAACAAGAAAGCGGCAATAATAATCATTTAAAACAACAATATGTGTGTTTTTTGGCCTACCTGCTTGCGATTGGCTGTCTTCAGCGGGTTGCCTGTGTTTGCAAAGATCATCCTGGAGGTTACAGATATATTTTAATTCCCACACACACACACACACACCAAAAAATCGCAACGATGAGCCACTCGAGACGGAATCCAAGCGGTGTTAAGGAAGCCTATAAAATAGCCAGTCGGTTTAAAACATCCGCATACTGAACGGGCTGCTTAACAGTAATAAAGCCTCGGTCCTGCATAGGTATACTGACACATCTATACAGTCAGATGCACACCAGGCGATGGACCAACCCTCCGCTCCGGTTCATTGATCTACGACGTCCTGCTGCAGACCGCTCGGCAGTCCCACCTACTACAGACCAAACCATCTCCGCCTCTGCAGGGTGTTTGACATCAAATAAACTGCGTCGCCGCCTCATAGAAACTCGCACTGGCGGTTTGTTTTTTGTGACAAAGGCACGTCGAGACGTCTGGTGTCTGTGGCGCAATTTATAATCGGACACAAAGCGCTTTTGGGTTTGATTTGTAGGCGCACAATCAGTGGGGCTGAACACTCGTCGCCTTTCATGTTGTTGTCGTCCGCACATACCAAGCATTCTTCACCCCCACCTCCACCAACCACACGCACACACACACACACACCCTCTTCCTCTTCCTACCCTTCCCCCCATCCAACACACTAGGCTACATGTCAGAGAATCAGGATGCAATGAAATACAAGCAGGGAGCTGGCCTGGGCTGGAGGTCACAGTCTCCCTATAAACCCCAGCGATGGTAGAGAGTGGATTCAAGAACAAGAGAGAGTGAATATTTGGAAATAACACACACAGGGAAAAAAAAACATTATTCCTGTCTTTGGTCTGCTGTTTTTTCTGAAATACAGTCCTATATGCTCCATATAGTAGGCTACTCTATGTATATCATGTGATATAATGGTGAAGTAGCTTGAAACAGAAATATTGACTCCTTCATGAACCATTCATATTTAAATTTTTCATTGCATTCACAAGATTGATTTGCTTATATGTAATCTGTCTGGGGGAAAAAAAGAGGAACTAGCTTTCTAGCTTCCGGTCAAAGGCTTCCAGCGCTATTTAGAAATAAGGTGAAGCGGTTTGCTGTTGATGCTTTTAAACACCAGAGCCTCTTGCTACACTTCTGATCTCCTGCGTTCGACCTCTAGGATCCTTTGGGTTCATCAGGCACAGGCTTAAATAAAGCTTTTAGTTGTTGCACCCAGATTGAGGGACAGCCTCCCTCATTACGCCATGACCACCCCCCTCAATACAATCAATCAGAAGTCATTTTAAACCAGCTCTTTTCTTTATGTGCCTGTGTTGTTTTAGGTCTTTTTCTGTGTTTTTCCTGTCGTAGAATGAGCCGCAGCTACAACTAAGGACACAGATGTCATGTCTATTGGACTTTTTCTGGGAATTGGTTGGTTTTAACAACCTCAAGGGAGTTTACCTTAAAAACATAAAGAGAAAACATTATTAGTTTATAGACTGTTTCCATATGTTTAGACTCTATATAGTTACATTTGAATAATACTAATAATTGTGCTACTAATAGTACTACTACTACTAATAGTCTGGCCAACACTGAGTAAATTAATCAAAGACAATGATAGTCTAGATAATAATATGTACATATTTCTTTTTCCTAAATAATCAACATTTCATCAGCATTTAGATCTTCACAGGAAATGGTTTTGATTTCTCAATAGACAGTCCAGTCATGAGTATGAGTTGTTGAAGTATTTTTTGGGCATTTTTATTTAAAAGTGGACAGCACAGACATGACAGGAAATTAAACAAAGCAACAAAGGTATCAAACCACAGTTTGTACATCAGAGTATGGTATGTACGTTAGCCAATAAACAAGTTTTATGTTTATTCAGACAGCTAAATTGGACAGACTTGACTGTCTAGGTACAGATCTGGCTTTCTCTTTTACCTAATTACACTCATTTTATATTCACATACGAACACAAAGCAGTGTTTGCAACTAGCAGCTATCCTGCTGCAGGTCCTACCGGAGATTTATGAAGCGAAGCTAAATCCAAATCCCATCAGGGTGCAGGGAAGCTCTTAAAGCATCAAATTTCTCTCCCGTATTTCCTCTGCTGGTAGGATTAAAGTTTCATGCTGGTGTCGTGTTACAAGCTACTTCTGATGTTCCTTGAAAAGTCCAATCATTCCTATCTGAATAATCAGCTGCATTCGTATCATTCCCTGTGCTTGTTTGCGTCAAATGTGTTGTAAACTGCCAGGTGAGATTTCACATAGGATTTAGCTGTAAATAAACTATATTTCACAAATTAAAGTTGTGTATATTGCATCTATTCACATTGTATTTTTAACCTCCTTGGCTTCAAATTGATCAAATATCCAATAGGTCAATTGATCTGTAGCCTGCATGCATCTTTCTATTGTTTGTCTCCGTAATTTATCAAAAATATTTAGAAAAGACTTGTTTTGGGACAACAAAATGAATCATTTTCAAACAGAAACAGTGGGAAGCTGTCAATCACAAGCAGAGCTGAATTTAATGAGATAACCTAGACAGCAATAATGATTCAGCAAACATTAAACTCAGTCCACTTTGAGGGAAAGATAATGCCAATTTGTTTCCTGTATTGTCTTGACTCTGATCAAGTCATTGCTTACATTGTGTATTCCGGCTTAAGTGTCTTTATAGGAGAATGCATTCAAACTGTATCAGAAATAATTCGACAGAAGTGAGGTAAACACCGAAGCCAATGGATTTAGAGACATAATTAATAATATATACCTAGATTGACTCTCAAAGGCAGTACAGAAACTAGTTTAGTGCATCATAAGGATGCACATCCTGGTTACGACTGCTGAGTGTATTGAATTAGGTAAGAGGTCCTGTGGGTGTGGAGCGGGAGGGAGGGACTCAGGAATGTGGATGATTATCTGCCCCCTTCTCATCCATTGAGAAATCAGGGAATTTGAAATTCCCATTGACAGCCTCAGATTGGCAGCTGACCTGTCTGTCCGACAGTGTGGCCTGTAACACTGCTGGGCGAGATTGTACGAGTTGTTCTGCCGGACTGGCAACTGTCAGGCAAGAATACATGAAAGCAAACAGAGAGGCTGTTTCACAAGCCCAGTGATGGTGGGGTTTGGCTCAGAGTTTGTGGCTCCTCGGGGAATAATGAAATGCTTGCATGTTGAAATATGAGAAACCATCCAAACATCACAGCCACTTTCATTCTTTTTAGTATTAAAACAGAGATGCTGTATATTATATTAGTGTTGTGTTTTATCAAGATGACACCGGTAATGTAAATGCTTCAAGGCAAGATCATCTTTACATTCAATGCAATTGTAAAATGTATAGCTATAGATAGATATTAGGATTAAGATATTAAGATTTAGACTTAGATATCCCAATTGCACGTAATGTTTCAGCAATAGTCAACAAGATAAAATGTTATCAACAGAATATAAAAATATTATATCCGTCTTTACTCTGACAAAGCATATTGTAGTTTGTTTACAGGCATTTAAACTTCTATTAAAACATCACCAATTTAAAATATTCCTACTGTCAAAATTGCAGATTTTCGAGAGCTCAGCAAAACAAAACGTATCCATCTAAACTCCTATTTGCAGAATAACTGGACAACACAGAACCGGTGATATCAATTTTAAACAGAATTTGGAAATTATAGAAGCTTTTGGATGAGACAAAGACATCTAGATTTTAAAATGTTATACGCTGTACATGCAGTAATCAGTTGTGTGCATTTGGCATTGATACAAGATTCAAGATTCAAGAAGCT